ACAGTAACTGCAAAAACCCCCCCCCCAGCCAATAAAAATGGATTCTTCTGTTTGTTGGATAGATTAAAAAATCATTGCAATTTTCTTCTGCAGAATATCTCTTTCCCCACTCCCACCTAGGATGATTTCCCAGGTGTGATATTTGCTGTGTACAGACAACATGGTTTTGGAAGCAATAAAAAAAAAAACCTGAACAAAACCAGTTGACAGATTTAACTTCATGTTTATACAATGCAACCCATCAACGTCTCCCACGTGGATACTGATCCTGCAACATCTCTGGGTGGATTTTGAAAGATGCTGCAGCCAGCCCTGGACTCTACCCCGGGAGCAAGAGCTATTCTGGTGTTGTAATACCCAGCAGCAGTTCATTTCAGGTGAAGCACACAAGCTGCGCCCAGAGCATCGTGTTCATGCACTGCAGTTAGCGGTGCCGCTCTCTCTGTGTTTAATTGCCGGCAATCCATCAACAGGATCGTGGTGTCTGGGAGCTACCTTGGAAGCTGCCATCTGAACTTCAGACCTTTAAAAGTACATATGGCAACTACAAGCCAAAGCTTATTTACCCACGGCGTCCGTGTTCAGGGCGACAGAGCCCTGTTATGATGTACTGACTTCATAAGAACTTCCTTGGTTGAATACCTGATGAACAAGCTGTGGTGAGATCAGAAATTGCTTCCTCACACCAGCTACAGAGATTATAACGGTCCGAATCTCAGCAAGACCATTTCTTTTTTATGTGTCTTTCATTAAAAAAAAAAACCCACACATTAAAAACTTAAAAAAGGTGAAAGAGGGTCTTGCCATTAAAGCTGAAGGTGCACAATAGAAAAAGGAATTTTGCAGCTGCTTAAAATTTAAAAAGGAGACCAAGTGTGCAGGTTGGGTACCCTCAGCCCCCCTCCTCCGTTCTCAAAAGGTCAGAGGAAAGCAAGAGATAATTACAATTCTAGCAAGCAGTCTCCCAAAAAACTTAGAACTCAAGCTTACAATTAAAATTCTCATTTTCATGTAAATTTTTAATGCGTAGTAGAAAGCCTGATCTGCATACATTTGGCGGAAAAGGAGAAGAATCATTAAAACTCTGGCTGTTGAGCTGCAGCACAATTCAGAAAACAAACATTTGACAGTCATCAGCAGAAGATTTCAAGGACACAAGGTTGGGTCGTAACCCAAATTTAGGTGAAGGCCTTTTATTCTAGAAAGTTCCATCTTTTAAAAAGAAAGCAGGTCACCATGTTGTAGCCTACACTAAAAAAAAAAAAGTTGCTCTTTGAATACGTGCCTTGCTTTCTGATAATTACAGAGTATAAACATAACATGTACATACCCTATTCCTTCCTTCCCAGGTAGCTCTAGATTTTTGCAAGACTTAAGACCTCTCAAGTATGCCATACCCCTTTTTATGGAAACCATGCTCAGGAAATCATAGAATCATAGAATCATAGAATCATAGAATCATAGAATCATAGAATCATAGAATCATTGAGGTTGGAAAAGACCTCTAAGATCATCGAGTCCAACCGTCGACCCAACACCACCATGCCCACTAAACCATGTCCCTAAAACATGTATTATACCACAATTGCCTCTACTCTGGGCTTGCAGTGGCTGAGTTACTATAGGGTTGGATACAGGGCAATACAGTAAGTATCGTCATCAATATGCCACCACCTTTGTGTAAAGCAAATAGGCACCGCTAAGTTATGGTATGGTATTTTCCTGGCTAATCCCTCACAGATACACCTAAATACTGTGGCTGGATATACATCAGCTGGAGACAATTAGCATATGTAAAACTTCCTATCCCCATCCGATACCTTGGGATCTTGGCAAGTTTTCCCACCCATCCCGAAAGTCCTCTCATGCAGACCAGAGATCACTAAACCCCAATGCTGGGAGCACCCTGTATTTTGGGGTAAGTCCATCCCCGCTTCAGAACTTCACTCAACGGCAGAGATTGGAGTTTGCAGTACCAGCGGTCCTGAATTTGAGCGATACCATGAAATGTTCTCCCACCCAATCCAGAGAGGTGGAGGGACGCTAATACTGGTTTGCAGCCCGTAGAAGTTACCTGCTTGCTCAAACAGCCAGAGGCTATTTTGCAACTAAAATAAAAAAAAGTTTCTCACTCCTCTCTTACACATTATCCTAGAGTTCCCATCCATTCTCCGCAGTATCCAAGCCCATGCAAATAGACCTGTCCAACAGATGACAACTAGCCTTCATTTGCACTTTTTCCTCCAAATACAGTGCTACAATCTCTCATTTGGGGCCGGTCTTGTTCAATATCTTTATCGATGATCTGGATGAGGGGAGCGAGGGCACCCTCAGTCAGTTTGCAGCCGACACCAAGTTGGGCGGGAGTGTTGATCTGCTCAAGGGTAGGAAGGCTCTGCAGAGGGACCTGGACA